GGACTAAAGGTAAACTAAACTAGAGCTAAACTAGATAAACTAGATAAATAAACCAGGACTAAAGATCTAAACCAGGACTAAACCAGATCTAAACTAGAGACTAAACCAGATAAAACCAGGTCTAAACTAGAGTTAAACTAGATATAAACCAGGACTAAACCAGGACTAAAACCAGGTCTAAAACTAGAGCTAAACTAGATATAAACCAGGACTAAACCAGTAAACCAGGACTAAACCAGGTAAACTAAACTAGAGCTAAACCAGACTAAACCAGATAAACTAAAACCAGGACTAAACCAGGACTAAACCAGGACTAAAACCAGGTCTAAACCAGGACTAAACCAGACTAAACCAGGACTCTAAAACTAGAGTTAAACTAGATATAAACCAGGACTAAACCAGGTAAACTAAACTAGAGCTAAACCAGGATAAAACCAGGACTAAACCAGGACTAAACGACTAAACCAGGACTAAACTAAACCAGATAAACTAAACCAGGACTAAACTAAACCAGGACTAAACCAGACTAAACCAGGACTAAACCAGGACTAAACCAGGACTAAAACTAAACTAGAGTTAAACTAGATATAAACCAGGACTAAACCAGGACTAAACCAGGACTAAACCAGGACTAAAACCAGGTCTAAACTAGAGTTAAACTAGATATAAACCAGGACTAAACCAGATCTAAACCAGGACTAAACTAGAGTTAAACCAGATCTAAACCAGGACTAAACCAGGACTAAATCATGCTGCGTGGACGTGTCTCTTCGTCTTCTATCAGTAATATTTTTAATACGGTTCAGTAAAGTCTGGGCTTTTTATTTTCTTTTATCAGACAAAACATCTTATGTTACGATGTTACGAGTCTTTGCTTCTCTACAGCAAATCAAGTAATCCAAAGTATTCAGATTACGTTACTCGCTTTAAGTAATTTAATGCATTACGTTACAAACTACATTTTGGGTTATGTAATCTGTAATCTGTAGGGGAATACATTTTAAAAGTAAACTTCCCAACACTGCTCATGTGACAGAAATGAACCCGTCTGAAAGTTATGTATGTTTACCACGAGTCCATCGCACAAAGAATCCAGCGGGAGGCAGAGAGTTCAAACATATGAGAGTCATGAGGTCACACCGGGGTCACGCAGGGGTCACGTTGGGGTCAAGGGTGGACGGGAGATGGATGGGACCGGCTCACGTCTCACCGTCACTGACACTCGAACAGAACTGACACTGTGAAGAAAAATGCGGTGTGTGCTGTTTGGAAAGTGTTTTTACTGTTACTTTAAAGGCGCACCGTGTAACTTTTCTGGTGGAGGGTCTGTCATCTGCTTGTCTCCATGGAGATGTTGTTGCTTTGTTTGGAAATGTCCCAGTCTGGCAATAAAAGTGTCCACGTTGTATTGACTCAATAACATGGGTTTTTATAACTTCAAAACTCGTATTCTTACTGCGTGTGTGGGCTCGCCTCTCCACAGATCTGTTATGTGGCTTGTCACTTGCTGTCTCCATAGAGATAAATAAGTGTAATGTCATGCTGTGGAACATTCCAGGTAACATCGACATGGAGAGAAGCTGGTGACGGACCCGGGCTTCATTTGCACTTCTCTTGGTTGGGTTTTTGTTTGAGCACATTTTAGTCCTTTCGTAGACTTGGTTTGGTTCTGTTCTGGTCCAGGTTTGGTCCAAGTTTAGTCCCATTTAAACTGCGTGAAGTGTTTTCTCAATTACTACTTCATTTGGCAGGATAGTGTGGTAAATATTGATTATAGTTTTCTATCAGTCAAGTAAAATTTTAAGAAAAAGTTGTGGAAAATTATGTCACATCTGCTGCTTTTAGAATTACACTTCTACACTTTAAAGCCACAGTATGTAACTTTTTTCGCCAATTAAACAAAAAGTTTGTTTGTTTTGTTTTTTTCATTTTGATGGTGTTTATTGCACTGAAATGTAGCATTATTACCAGGAGCAGGCTCGCATCTCCACAAACCTGCCTCCTAATTGTTTCCAGTCCTGGTTCGGTCCTGGTTTATTGCATTGAAAAACTAGTTTACCAGGATTGGACTTGCATCTCCACAAACCTGCTTGTTTCCATGGAAATGTTGCTCCTTTGCCTATAATATTCCACAGTTTGACATGGAGACTTTTCCAAAGTGAACTTTGTTTTAACTTTTTATGTCCATGGAATCAAGCACAGCCAGAAAGGTACGTACTGTACCTTTAATTATATACCGATTTTTATATGAAATATGAAATATTTTGGAGTAAATTATTACTGTCAGAATCCCAAGAATTCAAGAAGAAACATATTTCTTCATGTTGTCTGTGCTGAAATGAATCATGGGACACTTAGTTCCCGATGTTCATTAGGTGTTCAGAACAATACATTTAAGGAAAAGAACTTGTAATTCGATATATTGTGACAGCTCTCCATGTTTTTGTGAAACTTTTGACGATACAATATCAAGATATTTCGGTTATTGTTACATCCCTAAAACAGACCTGGAGTTGTGTTTGTGTTGTCTTCATTCACACATTTTTAGCACATTAACCCTGCATATTTAGGCTGAGTTCTTCTCTCAAAAAACAAAAACACTCTGTTCCACCTTGTGATGTCATGTAGTAGTTTTTTATTCAGTCACTTTGCAGGACTACAAAACTAAACAAAACTAAACAAAACCTAGACTACAACCCCCTGGATCATGACCGAATGTATTTAGGCTGAAGTAAAAAGTACTTATAATGCCAAACCCTTTAAAAAAATCTCAGAATTCTAAAAAATAAAGGCATCGTATGAACAGCAAGTTTGCATTTACAATTTCACTTACACTGAAAAAATGGTCCGAGAGGAGTTGCTCAAATTGCAAAATCAAATTTGACAACAATAACATCACTTTTTTACGTTTCTCTGTCAAACATGTTTAAATCTTACAAACATCGTTTGATTGTGGCCGATGTGAGACCTGCATGTTTTAATCAGGTTGAGGAAACATGACTTTATTATAATCTCTGGTGAGGCTCGTCCCTCTGGAATTCTCCTCCCCAAAACTTTTGGAGGGAAAATTCAAATGTAACAGGACACAGGACAGATACAGGAGCAGAGGACACACAGTGTGGAGCAGGAGGATTATGAGAACTGATCTGGAGGTGAGACTTTTTAAAGATTTTATTATGTGCTTCTCTGGCCTAGAATGTCGTCATTGTTAAAACATGTTTGTGTTGTTTTATTTGAAATTAGAGTTAATGTAAGGACAGCTTGAAACAAATTGTTTTTGACTGTCCATCTACAAGAGTGTGACAGTTGTACTAAGATTTGAATGTGTTTGTTCCAGAGTCGTCTACAAACACAGAGTGACGTCCAGAGCTCTGCTGGAGCTGTGGGGAAGTTCATGAATGTTACAGTTGATGTTTCAGAAAAAAGGAAGATGTTTGAGAACCAACAAAACACAGACCACAGATGAACAAAGTAAGTAAACCAACTAAAATTATTTTAAATTTTTTCAAAATGAACTTCCTATTGAAACTGTTATCGTACTTGTACAAGGTGATGTGGCATTAGGAGACTTTATACCAGATGCCCTCCCTGTTACTGTGTTTAGAGGAAGAAAAGCAGCACATGGTGAGTTTTGTTTCTGCAGATACACTTCTAATGTTCTTGTGATTCTGTTCTGGTCCATTATTGTAGTAATAAGTACTTTAAGTGTATTTAAACATGTAGAACAGAGTAGATCATCAGAATGTGATCATCATGTGTTATTCTGTGTCCACAGGCAGAGACCAGAGCTTCACTGGAATAAATCTTCACACTGTCCAGCTCCAAACTGTGTGTCTCTGTCCCTTGTGCTCTCTTCTGTGTTTGATTCTGTTTAAGACAATACAGAACTGTGGAAAACTAAAGACTGTTTTTGTATTCTTTTACAGAATTAGATCAATTAAATTACATTATCCATACTTATACATTTCATGATAAGGTACCATAAGATAAATATGCATATTCAGCATGATTTGTTAAAATTTCATCAACATGAAAAAGTAATGTTCATGTTCCGAGAAAAATATGTGTAGAGGGGATCAAAATAAGTTTCAAAGCCTAAACATGATTTTATTGCGTGCAACCGCTGTCCATAACTTTTTTACGCAAATCCAGCAACCTTTTTTTTTCAGTGTACGATTAAGTGTATATATAAGAGACAATTCTTTCATTCCAGAGCTTTATATCTTTCAAAACATAATGCTTTATACTCTTTTTTTTTTAAGGCTTCCACAGTGTTAGACTTTTTTTTTTTTTTTTAAATCATCACTCAGATTGTAATACATGTCTTTAAACTCCATACACCTTCACTAGAATCATTTGGATCATTTAATCCCTGGAATTACCAATCTTTACTGAACTAAACGTAAAAAGTAGCTGTTAATTTGAAAACAACCTACCCTTTCATGACATCACAAGGTGGAACAGAGCGTCCTGAGCTTCGGAGATGTGTACAGACTAATAATAAAGTGTTACTCAAACACGTGTGAATGAACCAAAACACAACTCCGGGTCTGTTTTCAATGACGTAACCTTTAACCCGCTATTTTTAACACCACCGGGCTCCTTATCTCTCTAAATCCAGTCATTTCTTATCTTTGCCATCTTATTTATTATTTTAACAAATCTAAAACAAACATTACATTACGTTACGGGCTATGCGGCGATGTCGTCTCGGAACGTTTAATTAAAGACATTGTTGTCGTTGAGTCAAAAAAGGTTAAGAGCAACGAGAGAGAGAAAAAGAAATCCCATTCACTACTACTGAAGCGTCTTCCGGTCCGCGATTGGTCCGAGGGGGCTGGGAGTGGGCGGGGCTTGTGCGGGATTGAAAGAGAGAGATGAAGGAGAGGAGGGAGGGAGGGAAAATGAGTGAGTGAGTGAGGGGGAAGAGAGAAAGCGCGGCGTTCCCTTGCAGCCGTCCGCACATAGGTTCATACACACAGAGGCAGTGAACATGAGCGCAGCCGAGGACCAGACGCCCGGGCTGCTCCTGCTCTAGTGCCGAGGCTGCGTTGAGATTAAAAAATAAATAAAATAAAGGAGAGAAGGAAGGAAGGAAGGAAGAGAAGGAAGGAAAAGAACCATGGACTCCAGGCTGCTCGTGGGGCCGGGGATACCCACCACCAAGACGCCCCCCTGGGTCAACATCAGCCGCTATGACCCCCACCGGCTCCAGGATTTAGCCCCGATTTCTACAACTGTGAGTAACTTTTATTAATTCTAATTCACGCACAAAATTCAACTATTTATTCAACACTTAAATAACTATTGAAACTTCATACTATTTGTGTTTATTTTAGTTTAATTTCAGCTTAATTCTCATTATTTTGTGCATGTTTTGACTCTTTTTTCCCATTAACTTCTATTATAAGGAGCTTAGTTTCATTCATTCCCACGTGTTTTTGCAAAAAATTTCAATAATAAAACAATTCTGCAATTAATTTTGAATATTTTTTTGTTTTTTCAATTATCAAAATACAGATTTGTGTGTAATTTCTATTTATATATTCATAGAAATGCAAAAATGTGACTCTCTCCATTCATTTTTTTAGTATTTTGATTAGGTTCATTCATGATTTTGTTTTGGTGATTTGTTCAGTGCTAAAATAATTTTGGAATTAAGTTTCAATTATATATTTTTGCTTAATTATCAAGACAGTTTGTGCATAATTTGTATTTTTGAGGACGTGCAGAAAATGTGACTTCTCTCCATTCATTTCTTCAGTGCTTTGGTGAGGTTCATTCACGTTTTTGTTGATGATGTGTGGAGTCCAGATTTGATGATTTTTTATTAATTTTGTTGCTGAAATTGTTCTTATTTGTCTTTTTTGTGTTAATTTGGTGATGAAAATTAAATGCTTTATAAAATTTGTGTCTTTTATGTTATCTTATTGATAGATGTGGCTTGTGTTTTGCAAATTCATTCATAGTTAGAAGGATAGAAAGTAACTTAATTCTGCATTTAGTCCTGGTTTGGTCCTGGTTCTGTCCTGGTTTAGTCCTGGTTTGGTCCTGGTTTGGTCCTGGTTTAGTCTTGATTTGGTCTTTGTTTAATACTGGTTCAGTCCTGGTTTGGTCCATGGTTTGGTCTTCGTCTGGTCCTTGTTTGGTCCTGGTTTGGTCCTGGTTTGGTCCTGGTTTGGTCCTGGTTTGGTCCTGGTTTGGTCCTGGTTTAGTCCTGGTTTAGTCCTGGTTTAGTCCTGGTTTGGTCCTGGTTTGGTCCAGTCTAGTTGGGTTGTGCCATTAATTGAATTTTAATCCAGATTGAGAATCAGTCACTTGTAATGGTCAATAATCTGTGATGTAGACCTGGTTTAGTCCTGGTTTAGTCCTGCTCTGGCTTTAGTTGAGTCCTGATCTAATCCTGGTTTAGTCCTGGTTTAGTCCTGCTCTGGTTTTAGTTGAGTCCTGACCTAATCCTGGTTTAGTCCTGGTTTAGTCCTGGTCTAGAGCTGGTTTAGAGTTGATTTATTCCAGATTTAGTCCTGGTTTAGTCTTGATGTAGACCTAATGTTGATCTGATATAGTCCTGCTTTAGCCCCGGTTTAACCCTGTGTAATCCTGGTCTAGACCTCGCTTAGTCCTGGTTTAGTGGTGGTCTACTCCTGGTCTAGTCCTGGTCTAGAGCTGGTGTAGTCCTGGTCTAGTCCTGGTCTAGAGCTGGTGTAGACCTGATATAGTCCGGACTGAGTCTGGGTATAGACCTGATATAGTCCTGGTTTAGTCCTGACTTAGTCCTGGTCTAGTCCTGGTCTAGTCCTGCTCTAGTCTTGGTTTAGTTCTGGTATAGACCTGATGTAGACCTAATGTTGACCTGATATAGTCCTGGTCTAGTCTTGGTCTAGTCCTGGTCTAGTCCTGGTCTAGTCCTGGTCTAGTCCTGGTCTAGCCTGAGTCTAGTCCTGGTCTAGTCCTGGTCTAGTCCTGGTCTGGTCCTGGTCTAGACCTGGTTTAGTCCTGGTCTAGACCTGGTCTAGTCCTGGTCTAGACCTGGTCTAGTCCTGGTCTAGTGCTGGTCTAGCCTGAGTCTAGTCCTGGTCTAGTCCTGGTCTAGACCTGGTCTAGACCTGGTCTAGACCTGGTCTAGTCCTGGTCTAGTCCTGGTCTAGTCTGAGTCTAGTCCTGGTCTAGTCCTGGTCTAGTCCTGGTCTAGCCTGAGTCTAGTCCTGGTCTAGTCCTGCTCTAGTCCTGGTCTAGTCCTGCTCTAGACCTGGTCTAGTCCTGGTCTAGTCCTGGTCTAGCCTGAGTCTAGTCCTGGTCTAGTCCTGGTCTAGTCCTGAGTCTAGTCCTGGTCTAGTCCTGGTCTAGTCTGAGTCTAGTCCTGGTCTAGTCCTGGTCTAGTCCTGGTCTAGTCCTGGTCTAGTCTGGTCTAGTCCTGGTCTAGTCTGGTCTAGTCCTGGTCTAGTCCTGGTCTAGTCCTGGTCTAGTCCTGGTCTAGTCTGAGTCCAGTCCTGGTCTAGTCCTGGTCTAGACCTGGTCTAGTCCTGGTCTAGTCCTGGTCCAGTCCTGGTCTAGTCTGAGTCTAGTCCTGGTCTAGTCCTGAGTCTAGTCCTGGTCTAGTCCTGGTCTAGTCCTGCTCTAGACCTGGTCTAGTCCTGGTCTAGTCCTGGTCTAGTCTGCTCTAGTCCTGGTCTAGTCCTGGTCTAGACCTGGTCTAGTCCTGGTCTAGACCTGGTCTAGTCTGAGTCTAGTCCTGGTCTAGTCCTGGTCTAGACCTGGTCTAGTCCTGGTCTAGTCCTGGTCTAGTCCTGGTCCAGTCCCAGTTTTACGTGGTCTGTTTGAGGATGAGCAGAGTTTAGTAAAACAGTAAATTGTTCAGTGTTTGAAAAAAAAAAAGTTCAATTCAAATCCTAATTAATTTGTTCAATTAGAGACGAGAAGAAAAGCGAGAGATAAGAAAAAGAGAGAGAGAAAGAGAGAGACAAAAGAGAAAGAGAAGTGAGCGTAAAGTCTGGAAATAAAAATAATCTGCAGAGAAGAAAAAACAGAATAAAGAATAAAACAGGTGACTGAAGATGAAGAGAGTAAAAGAAAATATTCTTCTGTTCGGTCAAACGACACGAGAAACATTTACAACAACACGAAAAAAAAAAGATTTATGTAAAACAGAACGAACGAACTGAACGAAAGACGGAGAGAGAGAGAGAGGAGAGGAGAGGGAGAAAGAGAGGGAGAGAAATGAGAGAGAAACACAGAGAGAAAGAGAGAGAAAGAGAAAAGAAGAAGAGAGAGAAAGAGAAAAAAAGAGAGAGACACAGAGAGAGAGAGAGAGAGAGAGAAAGAGAAAAAAAGAGAGAGCGAGAAAGGGAGAGAGAGACAGAAAGAGAAAGAAAGAGAGAGACAAAGAGAGAGAGAAAGGGAGGAAAAGAGACAGAGAGAGAAAGAGAAAGGGAAGAAGAGAGAAAGAGAAAAAAAAGAGAGAGACAGAAAGAGAGAGAAAGGGAGGAAAAGAGAGAGAGAAAGAAAGAGAGACACAAAGAGAGAGAAAGGGAAGAAGAGAGAAAGAGAGAGACAAAGGGAGAGAAAGAGAGAGAGAAAGAGAAAGAAATAGAGAGAGAGAGAGAGAAAGGGAGGAAAAGAGAGTGAAAGAAGGAGAGAGACAAAGAGAAAGGGAGGAAGAGAGAGACAGAAAGAGAGAGACAAAGAGAGAGAGCGAGAAAGGGAAGACGAGAAAGAAAGAGAGAGGCAAAGAGAGAGAAGAGAGAAAGAGAGAGACAAAGGGAGAGAAAGGGAGGGAGAGAGAGAGACAAAGAAAGAGAGAGAGGGAGAGAAAGAAAAGAAATAGAGAGAGAGAGAAAGGGAGGAAAAAAGAGTGAAAGAAGGAGAGAGACAAAGAGAAAGGGAGGAAGAGAAAGAGACAGAAAGAGAGAGACAAAGAGAGAGAGCGAGAAAGGGAAGACGAGAAAGAAAGAGAGAGGCAAAGAGAGAGAGAGAGAAAGGGAGGAAGAGAAAGAGACAGAAAGAGAGAAGAAGAAGAGAGAGGAAGACAGAGAAGAGAAAGAAAGAGAGACACAGAGAGAGAGAAACGGAAGAAGAGAGAAAGAGGAAGAAAGAGAGAGACAAAGGGAGAGAGAGGGAGGAGAGAGAGAGAGAGAGAGAGAAGAGAGAGACAAAGAAAGAGAGAGAGAAAGAAATAGAGAGAGAGAGAAAGGGAGGAAAAGAGAGTGAAAGACGAGAGAGACAAAGAGAAAGGGAGGAAGAGAAAGAGACAGGAAGAGAGAGAGAAAAGAGAGAGAGCGAGAAAGGGAAGATGAGAAAGAAAGAGAGAGGCAAAGAGAGAGAGAGAAAGGAAGGAAGAGAAAGAGAAAACAGAAAGAGAGAGACAAAGAGAGAAAGAGAGAGAGAGAAATGAGAGATAAAGAGAGACTGACAGAGAGAGAAGAAAGCAACAGAGAGATGGAGAGAGGAAAGAGGAGAGAGGGAGGGCAAAAAAAGAGAAAGAGAGAAAGAGAGTAGGAGAGAGCGAGACAGAGAGGGGGAGAGAGAGGCAAAGAGAGAGACAGAAAGAGAGAGAAGAAAGCAATAGAGAGAGAGAGAGAGAGACAAAGAGCGAAAGAGAGAGAGCAACAGAGATACAGAGAATGAGAGAAAGAAGAAAGAGCAACTGAGAGAGAGAGAGAGAGAAAAGAGACACAGAGAGTGCGAGACAGAGACAGAGAGAAAGAGAGAGAGAGAAAGAGGGAGACAGAGAGAAAGAAAGACAGAGAGAGAGAAAGAACGTACGAGAGAGAGAGAGAGAGAGAGAGAGAAGACGCTGTGCTCTGAAAACGTCTCGAGCTACGAACGAGTGTTTAAAGGGAAGAAGAGAGGAGGGGAGGAGGGAGGAAACAAGGTACTTAAAGGTTGTATGGAAGATTTTCCAAGGAAAGAGAAATGCAGCGACTGTTTGCGCTTTTTTAAATGTTGTGCTTTGCTCCTTTTCCCCTTTTCTCTTCTTCTTCCCGCGACATCAAAAACGGACTTTCTTTTGCGGCGAACTGGTCGTGGATTCTCGTCGGCCATTACAACAAACTTTGTGCGAACCGAGAGGAAGCTACAGCTCGAAAAAGACGCTAAGAACCGCTGCGCCGGTTGAGTAAACGGCATCGGTGCGCGAGAGGCGAACGTAAACCACGTAATCCCAGCGCGCCGGCGAGTCGTTGACGCTAGAAACGTAGGGAGTTTGATTGACAACCTAACAGCCAATAGAAAATGAGGTAG